ACTTTACCTGCTTAAGTATACGTTAATTTAATAAAGATACTACTAAGGCTATAGTGTAAAAATATTAGGAGAAGCCTCTTAATAAGGTTTATTACCTTAACCTAAAAATAAGATAACGTTATAAGAGAATCTAATAGAACTAAAGCATTAATAAAAAAACTACACTACATGTAGTTTTTTAGTGTAGTTTTTAGTATAGTGTAGTTTTTATAGTTTTAGTGTAGTTTAACTATACTACAACTATATTTATAGTGTAATGTGTAATTATAAAGGGAAATTTTAATTATAAATATAACGTTAATTATAAGACTTATAAGGTTATAATTATTATACTTAAATAAAGCTAATTTAGCTCTTTATAATGCACTAATTTTTATACGTATAGCTTATAAATTAAGCGAGTTATAATAGGTGAAATCTTAGCTAAAAATTAAGATTTACTTTTTTAAAATAAGAGATTAAAAGCTTAATATCTTATTAAATATCCACATTTTAAAGTNNTAATACTTACTTACTTAATATAATTCCCTTATAATTCCCTTTTATTTTATTTTTATTTTATTTTTATTAGTTTTTTAATCCCTGTTTTTAGCTTATTTAAGCTAGCTAATCCCTGCTTACTAATACTAATATTAGTAAGTAAATTTAGCTCTATTTTAGCTTACTAATTATATTAGCTAATAATAGCTTATAAATTAATTAATACTATATATTACACTAATTTTTAAAATGTAATGTAGTATAGTAAAACTACACTATATTACACTACACTAAAATTCACTAAAAACTATAAAACTACACTACTTTTAATGCTCTAAATAGAACTAGAAAGAGTAAAATATCTCTCTCTTCTCTTTATTTCTAAGAAAGAAGCTATTATTAATTTTATTTCTTATAAATTTACTACTTAGGTTAAAGTTAATTTAATTAATATATAGTTTAACCTTTACCTAGGTAAAGTAAAAGTTTGAGCCTTTTTTTAAGAATTTCTTAGATAATACTAGAAGTAATCTATTACATAATATTCTTATCTTAGCTCTAAGAAATATAAGAAAGTATATACTATTAATTACGCGTTAAGAATAGAAGATATATAGTATTTACTAGTTAATTATACGAATAATTAGATTATAAAATTAAAAAGGCTTAAAGACTACAAGAATATTAGAATTTAGTTGTTAAAGTATACTTCTAAAAGAACTTTATTAACCTATAGGCTATAGCCCTACTTGTAAGATAGCTCGTATAAGTTCTTAACCCTTTTTCTTATTATTAATAATAGGCTTCTTTAATTATTTAATAATTATAATAGATTCTTAAGTTTAATATAAAAGTAGAATTAAACTTAAGGTAGACTTTTTAAAAAGATAACGCGATTATAAACGATATTTTAACTATTCTTTCTATTATATTATATATAAAAGAAAGCGAATAATATTAGGTATTTACCTAATAATAGACTCTTATTTATTATATACGTTATTAAAATAGGCCTAGAAGGTTAGCGGTTAAACGCGTGAAAACTAAAGAAGTATAATCACGTAACGCTCGTATAGGTTAGGGACCCGGTTAACCCGTCTATTACGCGAATTATATACTAGTTTAAGGTTAATTATAATAAGCTTTAATAGCTTAAAATTAAGCGAGAATAGCGTTTAAGGTATATAGCTCGTATAATTTCATCTATTACTTATAAGGAAAGAGAAAAGATAAGCTAACGTGCGGTATTCGTGCTATATAGCTTAAGCTACGCACTCTTCGTGGTTCTAACGTTAAGCCTATACTTAACTATTATATTTATAGTTTAAGTAATAAGGGATAACGCCTTTAAAACTAGCTTTATAACCTGTAATAAAGTACTTAACCCTAGAATACTCAAGAAGAGCGTTAACTTTATAGAGTTACGCTAAAAAGAGGAGTTTATAAGTAATAATTAGAGTATTAATAAGAAAACTACATTTTTAAATTTTAAAAAAGCTTAAATAATTAATAATAAATCTAATAAAATACTTGAATTATAATAATAAATAGATAATTTAGCTTTAAAAGGTATTTTAATTACCTTTACTAGCTTATAAAATTTACACTAGAATTTAGTGGAAAAATCAGACCTCTAAATGTATTGTATTTTTTGTATTTTTTACTATACTGTATTGTATTGTATTGTAATGTAATATATTACAATACATTATAAGATAAGAATACCTATAAATGTATTATAAGGCTATAAAATATCTAATATTATAAATAAATGCTTATATAAGCATATTATATATTAAAATAAAGCTAAAAATCACGTGATTTTAAATCTTTAAAATTTAACCTCAAAATGTGGATACTAAGCGAGATATTAAGCTTTAAAGTTATGTTTTAAAATAAAAAGTAAGTAAAGTAGGGCGAATTTTCAATTACTTATAACTTTTTAATATAGTAACTTATAATAGTAATAAGTAGAGCATTTTAAAGAGCTAATTTAGCTCTTTTTAATAATATAAAATTTTTTCTTATAACCCTTATAATTGGCCTTATAATTCTAAGTTAAAAAAAACAAGGGTCTTTTTTACTTAAAATACATTTATAGGTATTTTAGTCTTATAATATAACGTATTCAAATATAATACACGAAAATACAATATAATATAAAATACAATACACAATACACTTGTATTTACTATATCTGTAAGAGCTCTGGTAGTAGGTAGATTAAATAGTAAGTTACCTTTACATTAGAACGCCTTCTTACCTCTAATTATTTATCTATAGAATATCTTTAACTAGTACTTTAAAACTTTATAGTATCTTATTCTATAGAGGTCTTTAAGCGAAGTTATTAGTAAGTTAAAATACGTGCGAACCTAGCGAATATCGCATTTAGTAATAAGGTAAGATATAACGTTACGCTTTAAAAAGCTATCTCTAATAGCTTCTATAATTAGAACCCTAACGCGTTTACACGTCTATTAAAAAAAGAACTTAACTAATTTAAATTAAGAAAAGATATAATAAAGCTTTATGAGAAGCTAAGACACGTTATAGCTTAAAAAGGGTTATTTAATTAAGAAGTAAAGAAAGTTTTATCGTAAATTAAATATATTTTAAATTACTTAAAGAAGCTATAAGTTTAGGAAAAGCACTATAAGTACTTTAAGAAAGTAAATAAGTTATAGGTAATAAACTAATTAATAGTATATCTTAAATAAGAGGTGTAAAATTTAAAATAAAAGAGGTTTAAAAATAGTAATACCTACGCTATTAAATTAGCTAGTCTTTTATTTTAAATAAATATTACTTTTAGCCTAGCTAATCGTATTATCGCTTATATAAGCGGAGTAAGTAGGTAAGGTAAAACTAGAGATACTTATTCTTTTAGAATAAAATTAAAGGAAGCCGTATAATATCTCTTTAATTATAAAACCTTCTTTAACACGTTCGCGCTTATAAGATATATTCGCTATTTATTTTATTAGCCTAAACGCGATATATATATTCCCTAGTAACTTTATACGTAGTATTATAATCTAATTACTTTTTGATTCTTATAACTTACTTTTTAAGGCTAGTAAAGTCTTTAAATAAGTAGTAAATTAATTTAAATAAAGTAATTAAATGCTTTTAAAATACTTATAATTTTAATTACGTCTTTTTTTCTTACCTATACTTACCTAAAGCTTACGGGTAAGTAACCTACACGGGTACCCGTGGACCTTTTACACCCTAATGTGCGCCACCTAACTGTCCACACATTACAATCTTCCCACTTAAAGGCATACCCTCTTGGAAACTCCATAGAATGCTTTGCTAAACAGGTGGCACTAAGCGGAGCTTTAGACGAAGGATTGCTTTTCTTATCCTGAGTTATTGTACTACAAGTGTGGTAGGTCACAGCACCAACGAGAGAGTCCAGACAATTCTCTCTGTGCACACAAGTTGCTAGCCAAAATTAGAATACACTTGAATGAAAACACAGCCACTACAACAAGCGCTTGCAATTGCATGGGCAGTTAGCCGACTGGCTGGGTTTTGGGCCATGCTGGAGGAGGACGGCTGGCCACGTCAGAATGCTGTGAGTTGGTACAAATTGCTGAGCAGAACAAGGCCTCGTGCTACATTTGACAGTTACAAAACGGAGACTCGTATACACAGCAGCTAGTTGAAGGTGCAGACGGAGAGTTTGTATGAGCTTTTGCCAAAGTGAGGCGCTTGAAGTGGTTGCCGCAAGCCAACTACACCGTCGCACCACACGATCCTGCACTCATCAACCAATCTTCTCCGTATTTCTCGCTACGCTGACAACCAAGAACCAAGACATGGTATTCACTCAGTCGCACAGGTCACACTTCAAGCGATGGATACGGAAGTGGCCAGCTGCAGCCTAGGGGTTCAGCACAGCGCACTCGATGCTTCGTGGCTGGCTGTGAACCGCTCGAGTCTTTGCAGCAACGAGTCCTAGCGCTTATGTGACAGTACTCACCTTGCAGTGATTGCTTCCTACCAATAACGGACCAGCTAAATGATTACAGGACTTGGCAAATGATGCCGTGTAACAGCTATGGCTGCCTGGGTTAACACGGACCAACCACCACGAACCATGCGCTGGCATGTGTACCTGCCCAATTTGAGGCCAATATAGAGCATTGGGAGTCTCAGCCCAAAGTTATTGACGAATCGTTTCTGCAGATGTTGCTCAACAGTGTGATTAAGCCCCCAGCGTGTTTCTCATCCTGTCCATCGAAAACCGGGACGGGGAAAGGCTTCAACAGCGAGGATTGGTCGGACTGCCCACCCGTCCAGAAGTAATCCCAACACGTTACACATGCTAATAGCCTGGAAATTAAGAGGAGGTGCGGGGAAGAAGAGGGAAATATAACTCGACTCTGAAAAATCCATCCTTGTTTTCTGTACAAGGTAGTGTAGTTGATTCCTCTCAGAAAGTAGCAAGAACCTCTTGTCGTATTCATTGATCGAGTTGACCGCCTCAAGTCACGGCAATTTTCAACACCATGACACGACTTTGCAATTCATTCAAGCGAATCTTGAGCAAGGCTCGGTGTCGGCCCAAACGAAGACGGCCGAAGGTGCCACAAGACATACTCCTACGTCACAAGAGCTTTGAGCTAGACAGCCCCCAACTTACACAGAAATCGCCAAAATCGGATGATAAAACACTTGATATAGAAGACACATCTCCTGTCCCCATTTTGCCCAAGTCCGCTCCTTCCCTGCCCCACGCCGTAAAGGCAGAAGTGTCTGGCAGGAACGACTTTGAGTGGGAAGTGCTGTGGTATCGAGCTTATGAAATTGTCAAACAGCAACAACCAGATTTGATTGTGGACTTTGAAAAACACCTGGCAACGTCAACGGGGATTGAAATACCACCGCTGGTCGAAAAAGACTTGCTTTCGAGTCCTGAATCTGCCCAGAAGATCGTGGAGCAGCTACAGACAGACCGAGCTGAGAAACAATGGCGGGTTAAGGTTATGGGCAACAATGTTTCAGTACTAGAACAAGTCGAAAAGCTAGGAAGATTTCTTCTATGGTCCGACGAGATTGTCAAGTCGGCTCTTAGCGCCCAACCTTACGCGTCAATGGCTTGGTCTGGTGTATCAATGCTGGTTCCAGTATGTGCCATCATTTTGGCTCACAGTGCTCCTTCGGAAACTTTGCTAATTATACATGTAGTTACTTTCCGTTGGCACGGTGCAACACGAAGCCATGCTTGAGGGATTCGGCTCTATTTGTGACATTCAGATGTACTGGTGGAGTTACAAAGAGAAAATCGCCAAGTCTTCATCTACAGGCAATGACACCGGTCTTGCCGAGGCTTTGCCAAAGCTTTTTTCCTTGGTATTCGAGTACCAAGCCCGGGTGATTTGTCATTTGGTAAAAAATCAACTCAGCCGTGCGTGGGAGAAAGCCGTAGGTTCCAGGGATTGGGCCAGTCTACAAAGCCTCGCTCTGGCCAGTCACGGAACCTGTAAGGAATACGTAACTCGTGGACATAATGAAGAGGTGGAAACTCATATGACGCTTCAGTCTGAGAAAATGGAGCGGTCATGCCAAACTGGAGAGAAGATACTCCAAACGCTGCAACAGGGCCAGCGGGAAGAATGGGAACGGGAATTGCTTAATAACCTGGCATCCGCAGCTCCTACATACGAACGTGACAAGAATTTCAACCCAGATAGAGTGGAAGGAACATGCGAGTGGTTCTTTCGGGACTCGACATTCTGTAACTGGCGCGACAATCAATCATCGAGTCTCATTTGGATTTCCGCAGGTCCCGGATGCGGCAAGTCGGTCTTATCGCGAGCTCTAATTGACGAAGGTCACTTGGATGCTAGGGGTGTGGTAGAAATCACGGACTCAAGTGTAAACTACCGACAGTCACCTTCAAATATCTGCTACTTCTTCTTCAAGGACCAAGATGCTCTTCGCACGAACACTACAAATGCTCTATGTGCGATGTTGCATCAGCTATTCTGCGGCGTATCCAACAAGTCTTTAATACGTTATGCAGAATCGAGTCACAGAAACTATAATACACATTTGACCACTAATCTCTCCGAGCTGTGGCGCATTTTGATAGCTTGTGCAGAGTCTCCAGAGCTTAATGGCCTTGTCTGTGTGCTAGATGCTATGGATGAGTGCAGTAAAGAAAGCAGAGAGGAACTATTTCTTTACCTCCGTCGATTTTACAACAAGAAACGGGACCTGAAGTCTTCTAAGATCAAGTTCCTGCTTACCGGCAGACCATATGACCACTTGAAATCTGGGCTACAACTACTGGAAAATAATGCGGCATACATTCACTATGATGGAGACGACAGATTTGAGGAGATTGGGCGAGATATTGATCTTGTCATTGACGCAAAAGTGGACAGTCTTGGCCAGTATATCAAAAACGAAAATGATCGTGATCGGATTCGCCAAAGACTCAAGAAAATGGACAACCGTACCTATTTATGGCTACACCTGACGTGGAATATAATTACCGAACACCCTAGTAAGTATGGCAGGGTGTCAGACATAGAACCACTGCTGTCAGATATACCACCAGCGGTGGAAGATGCCTATGAAAAGATCCTAAACAGGAGCACAGATATAAAGAGGACTGAAGCTCTTCTTCAACTAGTACTTGCTGCAAAACGGCCGTTGACTATCGAAGAAGCCAATTACGCTCTCACGTTAACTACAACTTCAACTATAACCAAGGACGAGCGCCTAACACACAAGGTCTTGAGTGAAAATATATGGAGTGGCGATTTCAAATTCGTGGTGAAGAATCTCTGTGGACTTTTTGTCAACGTCTATGACTCCAAGCTATACTTTATTCATCAGACTGCTAGAGAGTTTTTGACTGGTCCCGCAACATCGAGCACAGGCTGGATGGGACGCTTCGATATCAAGATGGCTCATACATATATTAGTAGATGCTGCCTACGTTACCTCCTCTTACCGGACATGCCGACTTTGAGGGAGAATGTTACATCACCTCGCGGGTCAGAAGAGTTGTACCATTTCAGTAAATACGCAGAAGAGTTGTACCCTTTCAGTAAATACGCAGAAGGGTACGTGTTATTTCATTTTGATTCACAAGCGGATGACGCAAAGGAAAAGGGCTTCAAGGATATAGAGGTGCTTTTTCATTCAACACCTAGATGTTCCGCAGAATGTCTTCTGCTATATATATTGGGTACAGCTTTCCTTCCCGTGGATCGAACTGATAACATCGAGTGCAATAAATTGCTACTTGCTAGCTATTTTGGGTTGCCTCAAGTTGTACGACGGATATTGGAAGCTGGAAACCAAACAAAAAATATATCTTCCACGGCCAAGGTTGCAGCGTTGCAGCTCGCCTCCAAAAAAGGACACCTGGAAGTAGTCAAGGTGCTGCTTTTGCACACAAACAGTGCTGATGTCAAAACGGAAGACTACGACGCCACAGCCCTACATGCAGCAGCGTCGGGTGGCCACCTAGATATTGTCAGATTACTCTTGTTGAATGGCGCGAATACAGAGATTCCAAATCATGGTGTGACGCCTCTTTCTGCAGCAGCCGACTCAGGTCACAAGAAAGTGATTGACATGCTGCTTTCTCATAAAGCTAACGCGCGAAATTACTCCGGGTTCTACGAAACGCCGCTTTCAAAGGCAGCTGAACAGGGCAGGGATGACATCGTGGAAGTCTTGTTGCCGGTCACTTGCGTAGGGGCGCTTTCTCTGGCATTTTTCAGCGTAGCGCTGCAATGGGCGTTGGTTCTTCATGGGAAACTCCTTGACCGTCTCTTGTCTTTTCTTGAGATTTTGGAGCCAAACGAAGGATATCATCAGACATTAGTACTCTGGGCTGCCCGCTACGCTACTGCAGAAAACATGGCCCATCTTCTGCAGAAGTGGCGGAATAGGTTCTTAGTCACAGAGAAACTTCTTGTGGCCGCGACGCGGAATAAGTATCATGGGCCACGAATTGTTACTATGCTCCTAGACGAGTGTGGAAGCAATGAGCTTATTTAAACCCACGTCATCATCTCCGCTACTCTCGCACGCAATGCAACAACGACAACTGTCCTTCTACAAAGGTGTAATATTCAAAACGTTGACAGACAAGCAATCATTCTGGCTGCCGCGAAAAAAGGCACAACAGAAAACCTGGCCCTGTTAATGGAGTCTTGCGATTATGATGTCCAGACAATTGCTGAGGCCGCCGTATCAGGCCCAGAAGGGTACAAAAATTTCAGCCTTATGCTTCTGAAGCATGGCGACCAGATTCTAGCAACGGAGAATCTGTTACTAGTCGCTGCAGAAAACAAGGACCACAACGGTACTCTACTACCTCTGATTTACCAACGCTATGGCAAAAAGATAGTCATTACCGAGAAAATGTTGGAAGCCGCGGCGGGACATGAGGGTCAGGTGCCTGAGTTTCAGTATCTATTGGATTATTGTGATGGCCATACCACCATCACAGAACCAATACTGCAAGCTGCAGCAGCGAACGAGAAACATGGGGGCCGGATATTCGAAATTCTTGGCCAGAAATACCAAGATAGGATTACAATCACTGAAAGGGTAATGCAAGCCGCAGCAGCGAACGAGACATATGGGCGTGAGATATTCGCAGTGCTTGTTGAGAAGTACCGAGACAAGATTACAATCACTGAAGGGGTACTACAAGCCGCAGCGCAGAATATAGAATGGGGGTTGGGCATATTCCAATCAATTATAAACAACTGTGACACTCGGCTCGCAGTCACAGAAGCCGTGGTGAAGGCTGCGGCCACGTGCGGTCAAGAAGGAATTCTTGACCTTCTCCATAAGGCGAATTGCCGAGGTTCTGGTATAACAGGATGGCATGGCATCAATAGGTTCTGGATTTCCATAGAGCGCGACGACTTGGTGACCATGAAGCAGCTCATAAGGGAAGGACAGGACCTAGAAGAAACGAATGCTAGAGGAGAAACGCCACTGACATTCGCATTAAAAACGGACACCTTGGGTGCAGTTAAGCTCTTGGCTCAAACAACGGGAGTCAATGTTAATATGGCAGATCGTAATGGCCGAATGCCTCTTCATGCGGCGACGGAACCCTTTCGTGCGCCGTGGGAGGCTACTAGTCAGTGGTGGGACGTTATCAGTTTGTTGAAGAGACACATTCGGTCCCAGGCCCTTTTAAGAATACATGTATCTACTTTACTGAAAGCTGGGGCGGACCCACGTGTTCTGGATGAGGAATTTCTGAAAATTCATCTTCCATGGCTTTCAGTTGCTTGATGCATACAGATGCGCAAGCATTCGCCTAGCTGAGCGAACCCCTGTCTTGATAAAAGTTTCAAGACAGCTGTTACGTACGGGGGACCGCTGAAGAGCACACCGGCGCCATTCGGGATTCATTTCGTGGCTGGTAGATGGTAAATAGCAAGTGAGAGAGAGAGAGAGATGCGCCGCGCATACCTGACATGTTTAATAGGCTATATTAAAGCTATATAAAGATTGAGCAATAAATAGATGTATGAAATTTCCTTTGCCTTTTGATATTTGCCGAGCAGATCGATACTTTGGAAAAAAGATTTGGTACGCAAAGCGTCAGCGTTGCGGTAGCTTGTTCCGACTGGGAGAGCTAGATATGATTAGAAACCAGATCATATACCAAAAGGTACGTGGACTCCAAAGCCGACGAGATCCCAAAACACGGGATTGTCAATAGGTAGCTTGGATTTTTCGGAAGAAAATCCATGAAGACATTAAGCTTCTTCAGAGTCCAAGCGTCAGAGTTATTGTCAGGCTTGACCACTGAGCCATGTATCATAAAGATTCCAACCGACGAGAACATAGACCAAGGTGGCCCGGGGAATAGCCTTGGAACGCCGTCAAAAGACTTGGCCAGGGACACTTGGAGCCTGTCATTGCATCATAAGGGAGGCCACAAAGACATTCCACTGCCGGGAGAAACACTGAACCTTCAGCACTGGGAAAAGACAAGATGTCAACCTCTGAGGGGTTGTGTTAGAGAATACTTATTCTCCTGGGGCCTACACACGAACGGAACGAGCCTCATATCGGTGTAAGGCGCCTAGATGCTTCCAGAGTCCTACGGTTAAGACTTGAGAGAGATGAAGAAGTTGCCGAAACGAAGAGAAGACGTGACGTACCATATACGTATCATATACCAGAATACATTTGGTGGGAGTTGCGAAGGGAAGTCTATTTCCTCTCCCAACATTCAAGTATGGCGCCCTCTCTGCCGGCCTGCACCTACCATTTCAACGCACGTCAACGACACCTGCATGTACATCTACATGCGACAATTGAGAGGTCTATCATTAGAAGAACCCAGATTCGATAAAGGAGGTGATATAGAAGCAGTGGAGGGAGTGAAGAACTGGTCGCTTCCATATTCGATTTGATGTTATCCACAGAGTCATGGTCAAAGGATCGTCGTGGAAATCGAACCCACTCCCCAACAGGGCTGCCAGAACGACCTTGAGGGTGGGCGCCCAAGGATTTAAACCATGGAGGAATCAGGTTCGCACTTACAAAGGAATGAGAAAAGTTGGGCTTTCGCCCATCAATTCACGTAAGGTATTGGTTGATTCGTAGAGGAAGCAACGAAAATCGGGCTGGAAGCTATAGCGCTAGTTGTCCTTTGGATGCTTCAATTCTAGCCTTTGCGTCGTCGAGGGAACGCTTGACTTTGGGTTGTCTTAGCAGCACGTTCCCTTTTGTCGGCAGTCGGCCTTCCTGGAAGAAAGGTAGATCCTACGATTGTTAGCCCCTCTGGTTGGAAAGGAGTGGTGACAGGATGGGATCCTACCAAAAGCCATTCCGCATTGATTGCCGTGACTGTCTGCAGATACTGCTTCCCTCTTGTTGTATGAAAGGTTGTGTACATGATCCACTCGTAATCGCCACCCACTAGAGAGCTAAGTGGCGACAAAAGTTCCGAGGTATTCTCATGCACCGTTCGGTACACATCGCCGGAATAATGGACAGCAGTGTGTGTGCAGGAAGCGATTGCTAAAGCCTTCCGTACACACGTCGTTAACTGGTATCCTGAACTGATGCGTGGGTGGGGGGGAACTTAGCATCGCTTTGTATGAACGGCCTGATTCGTACTCGCGCAAGACGGACCGCTTCTAGCGCCTGCATATTCAAGAAATGTCGGGAGCACCACTCGGCAAGGTCGAATTTTAGGCCTTCTTTGCATCCAGCGTACTACATGTAGGCATTAAAGGCGTTTACGAGGGTAAGATGGTCGGATTACGGGTGTTAGGAGAGCCTCTTAAAACAGTCTGCAGCCTGCCGGTATTGAGCTGGACGCAAGAAAATGGACGCCCGGGAGCTACATAGTAGCGCGATGTCGACCATTTCCATACAGCAGCCAAGCTTAGCAGCGACTGCAATGGCACGGTACGAGATTGGGTCTAGGGGACACTTCGCCGCGAGGCGGCCTGATGGAGTGAAGCTGCCGTCTTCCTTTATAAACTCCCATTCTCACAATATTAGTCGTCAAAAGGGCCAAATATCATCTGCAAATACATACCAATCTCGAAGACTCTGGGCTGCACGTGCAATTGACTCCGGATGAGGGGCATCGATCCAGTCAAAGTCGATGGCCCTTCTGTAGCCAGCAACAAGCAGCTTGAGCAGTATTGAGTCAACGGGCACACTGCGAATGGCAGGAGCAGTGGACTGATCTAGGCGTTCATATGATGGCTGAGAGATCCGTCTTAGGTCAAGCATATGCATATCGAGACGAGGCCTATAGATTAATTGTCTTGACAGTCCTGTGTCAATAACAAACACAACATCATCAATAGTCAGGCTGTTCTCTGCAATATTGGTCGACACAATGCATTTGCGGCTTGGACCAGAATGAGTAAGAGCCAGCCTCTGAGAGTCGGCCGGTAGATCTGGGTATAGAGGGAAGATGTTAAGGTCCTTGGTGTACCGACGGAGAAGATTGCAGGCAGCTTCTATCTCTGCTTTGCCTGGAAGAAATACTAGGATGTTGCCTGGCTTATTATCCTCATGGACCGCCACCACGAGACGCGCGGCAGCGACGACAAAGTTTGCCGGGGCCTCCTTAGCATAACTAATCTCAACGTCAAAGATGCGACCAGAATTGCGAACCAGTGGGCAGTTGTCGAAGTAATCCTAGAACCGATTTGCATCCATAGCTGCTGACATGATGACTACCTATCATGATAATTACTGTTAGCTGGATAAATCGTTCAGCTAAGTGTAGGCTAACAAGGAGCCTACCTTGAGATCCTTACGACGGCTTACGACCATCTTTAGGAGGACCAGCGTTAAGTCGAGATCGGCAGCCCGCTCATGAGCTTCGTCAAGAATAACGCATGCATACGCCGACAGAACCCTGTCAGAGCTTAGCTGCCGAGGCAGGACGCCTTCGGTGAGATGGACAAGCCGAGTTTTCTTCCGGTTTTTATCAACCATTTTCTTGCCGCCGATCTTATAGCCGATTTCCTCCCCCAGGACGACTCCCACTTCGTTGGCAACGCAACCAGCGAGTGTGGTTGCAGCTAGTCGGCGCGGCTGGGTACATGCAATCTGGAGGCCACTTGAATACTCATCATAGACGAGCAGCTGGGGGACCTGGGTTGACTGCCCGCGCCGGTCTCGCTTAGAAGAATGATCACCTGAGACTGGTGATACTCGTCGAGAATCTCTTGGTACCGTCTGTAGACTGGCAGCCGACGGCGACTCGAAAGAATTTCATCGTGACCAGAGGGCCAGGACCTTCCGGTGAGTGGGTTCCGAGATGCGTCTTCAAGAGGCTGGACTTGGGCCGCGGTGGCCTGGTTGCGTATGATGGAATCCATTGCAGTAGTGACCGGTGGTCTGATCTCTCTTTTCTAATTGTCTGCTGTGAAGCAGCTTGCGAGAACGATGTGTAAGGGTGTGAAAGTGAAGGAGGGAAAGGTAGCCTGGAATCTCTTGTTTGGTCTTTTTTTGTGTGAAGGAAAAAAAAAAAAAAAAAAAAAAAAAAAAACCAAGGTGTGTAAGAACAATGTGAAAAGATGTGAGCAGCTGTGAGCAGATGCCAACTGAGCAGATGGGGGGGCCGGAGGCAGGCGGCTGACAAGTGACAACTTGACCAGGTCACCAGACCTTAAGGCCAACGCCAAAGTTCAACAAATTTTGTACAATATTTAGACGGCTTGCTATGTGGTCTACGACACTGCGTGTTTCCAGCTCAATCTAACTATATCCTTTACTTGACAGGGAATCTATTCAATCCACCCATTTATCGTCTCTTGCGATAACTTCTGCCAACCTTGTCCAATAGGGGCTGAGAAACATTGAACCGTCAGGTTGACCAGTGCCCTGGTGAGTGTCAGCAGAGGCTGAGCGTGTTGGGGTAAGCCTAATAATACATCGTGTGTACACACTACACACACAGGTCAACACACACAGGTCAACACATACAGGTCAACACATACAGGTCAACACATACAGGTCAACACATACAGGTCAACACATACAGGTCAACACATACAGGTCAACACATACAGGTCAACACATACAGGTCAACACATACAGGTCAACACATACAGGTCAACACATACAGGTCAACACATACAGGTCAACACATACAGGTCAACACATACAGGTCAACACATACAGGTCAACACATACAGGTCAACACATACAGGTCAACACATACAGGTCAACACATACAGGTCAACACATACAGGTCAACACATACAGGTCAACACATACAGGTCAACACATACAGGTCAACACATACAGGTCAACACATACAGGTCAACACATACAGGTCAACACATACAGGTCAACACATACAGGTCAACACATACAGGTCAACACATACAGGTCAACACATACAGGTCAACACATACAGGTCAACACATACAGGTCAACACATACAGGTCAACACATACAGGTCAACACATACAGGTCAACACATACAGGTCAACACATACAGGTCAACACATACAGGTCAACACATACAGGTCAACACATACAGGTCAACACATACAGGTCAACACATACAGGTCAACACATACAGGTCAACACATACAGGTCAACACATACAGGTCAACACATACAGGTCAACACATACAGGTCAACACATACAGGTCAACACATACAGGTCAACACATACAGGTCAACACATACAGGTCAACACATACAGGTCAACACATACAGGTCAACACATACAGGTCAACACATACAGGTCAACACATACAGGTCAACACATACAGGTCAACACATACAGGTCAACACATACAGGTCAACACATACAGGTCAACACATACAGGTCAACACATACAGGTCAACACATACAGGTCAACACATACAGGTCAACACATACAGGTCAACACATACAGGTCAACACATACAGGTCAACACATACAGGTCAACACATACAGGTCAACACATACAGGTCAACACATACAGGTCAACACATACAGGTCAACACATACAGGTCAACACATACAGGTCAACACATACAGGTCAACACATACAGGTCAACACATACAGGTCAACACATACAGGTCAACACATACAGGTCAACACATACAGGTCAACACATACAGGTCAACACATACAGGTCAACACATACAGGTCAACACATACAGGTCAACACATACAGGTCAACACATACAGGTCAACACATACAGGTCAACACATACAGGTCAACACATACAGGTCAACACATACAGGTCAACACATACAGGTCAACACATACAGGTCAACACATACAGGTCAACACATACAGGTCAACACATACAGGTCAACACATACAGGTCAACACATACAGGTCAACACATACAGGTCAACACATACAGGTCACAGGAACTCAGCTAGCTGAGCGATTATGCCTTCGTGGAATCTCAAGTACAGTTTTTACGCAGGAGGGACTCATTTAGGGTTGCCAATGGCATAACTGCCCAGATGGATGAAGAGAACACTTGGCGGCACTCGGGATTGGCTTCATGGCTGGTGGATTGTAGTGGTGGAAGGGCTGGTGACATGTTAAGTAGGCCACGTCAAAGCTGTAACTTACAAAGATTGAATGGCAGCTGGCACGGGGTCCTTTCACTTTTGACATCGCCTTCCAGCTGTCAAAAAGCCTTCCAAGGCAGCAGCAACGCCAAAGTAATACAACTTGTGGAGAATGCGCAAGCACTTGAGAGGTTGTGAGTCAGCCCGAGTTGAAACGACCCCATCTTAACGCCTCATTCATGGGCTTTGATCGGATCGTCGAATCGTTGAATCGACAACAAGCCACCGGCATATTGCCCGAGTTGGAATCGCGCCCTACTCACCTCTGTGACGACAGTACACAGTCTGTGACGGAATATACTTGGCCGCCCAGAAAGTCTACACTAATATATTGTGGTGCGTTATTCCACAAAGCGCGATAGCCAGGTACCTGATCTAGGCACATGTTGCTGTCTCCCACTGTACAATTGGGAATACCTCTGAATGCTCTTCACGAACCACATCTAATCATATGTCAAGCAGAATCACCAATTTCCCCCATTCAACTCTGTAGCCCGGCATCAAGAACTCTCTCTGGCGGCGACTTCCTGTCGCTGTGCACTCCTCAGCCGTCGTATCGCTTCAACACAACGGAAACATCGCAATCAGCCAACTACATCATGGACTTGTTCAACTCTGACAACTTCCCCTCACACGTAGAGGATCTCATCAAGAAATACCATGTCCCTGGACTTGCTATTGCCATTACCCACAATGGTACCACGGCCTCCAAGGCCTTCGGGGTGGCCTCATTCGACCCTCCAAAGCCAATGACCACCGATACTCTTCTCGACATTGCTTCCGCATCAAAGTCTCTCACTGCTGCGTCTGTTGCGCTGCTCGTCAATGACGACAAGTACCCCGACATCAAATACGAAGCCGAAATGGCCAAACTATTGCCTGGCGACTTTGTCATGCCTGGCCAAGGCTACGAAGGCGTAACCGTCGAAGACATCCTCAGTCACCGGAGCGGAATGGCATCGTGAGTACATCCTTCTCCCTTTTCACCAGTCAAAAATCTGTGGCTAACTCGTCATGTCAGCCATGACAATTCATATTTGGGCGCCAGGTCCAACAACACAGATACCGCGCGGTCTGTCACGCGAAATCTCAGGAACCTGGCACCCGCAGCCCCAATCCGCTCCAAATACATCTACTGCAACATCATGTTCACCGTCGCCACCTACCTGGTGGAGAAGAAAACAGGCCTCAGCTTCGCCGACTTTCTCGAAGAGCGCTTCTTCCAACCGCTCGGCATGACCTCGAGCAGCCTGCAGCCGGGACGCGCGCGGGCCAAAGGACTCGGGGACCGTATTTCCCCTGGACACTGGTGGGACAAGGCGGCCGGCAAGTACTTGACCTTCATGACTCCCGATTTCCCCGAGGCACAGGGCGCAGGCTCCGTCGTGACCTCTGTCAACGACTACATCAAATACGTCGAGGCAATAATGAACACAGAGGCCCCGTTCACAGAAGCCGTGTACAAAGGACTCGTCAAGCCGCGAATCATCATAAGCCCGGACGATGAGCCGAAACCCTTCTCCTCGCCGCCGCTGTACGCGGCAGGCTGGGAGGTGCATCACTACCGAGGCCACATGGTTGTCGTCCACGACGGATGCATATCCGGCTCCTCGACGAGCCATTTCTTCGTGCCGGGATTCAAATTCGGAGGCGCCATCTTTGGCAACTCGGACACTGCGTGCTCCGTCGCCGAGATCTTGATGCAGGAATTCCTCGATGAGCTTCTCGGTGTGGCTCACGACCAAAGAGTCAACTGGGACGAGGTGGTGCACGAGTCGTCCCCGGAGAAAAAAATGGGCAGCGAGGAAAAGGTGTTCGAGGAGGAGCGGCAGAAGCTTTGCCCTGGTATCAAGGATTCCGAGCCTCAGAGCATGCCCCTGGACACTTATACGGGCGAATACCGGAATCCGGGCTGGGGCTCCCTCTTCATGCAGATCAAGGACGACCGGTTATTTATTGACTGCTCCGATCGGTCTTATGTCTTTACACTTACCTTCCACCATGTATGCGAGCAGAAGAAGTATATCGTTCTTTACAAGGAAGTGTCGCAAGGTCCGAACTTGCCAATGAGGGCGGAGTTTCGGTTTGACAACAATGTTCCCGTTCAGCTGGGCATTGCGTTTGATGAGGATCTGGATGATTATATCTGGTTTGACAGGGTGCGAGGAGAAGGCCCAGAGCCCGTGGTCATTCGCTCCAAGGGCACTGCAGCTTGAACCGCTTGGTCTTATTCCGGGCATGTGTTGACTTGGCTGGCACCAATCAACGAGTGGCCCGCCCGCACCGACATGGGCTTACTTTTCTTTTCTTCTTTTTTAAACAATCCGCCGGCGGATACATCTCCCGAGGGTTAATATGTGTAGTGTAAAACTCCATGGGAAGAAATCAGTTGCTGCACAGGGGCTACTAGCATCTTTAGGCCGGATTCGGCCCCTGTATATAGAGCGTCCTAGCCGCAATAGCTATTATTAATGACGAGCCTCTGAGATACTCATCTTTTTTTTATCAAGATCAACGCCAAAAATTATGCTTTTAATCTCTATCAACGAATAGGACTGGCACCGAGTTGCTTAGCCCAGAGGCGTCTCCCCCCGGCAAACAGGGAACATGGCGTCAACCTTGGACATTCTCTCCAACTATTGCAGCCCGACAACAAGGCACATCATCGCGCATGGCGTATCAAGAAAATATATCCGTCATGCCGAGCAGCCCATGAGAAGGTCATCTGACCCTACTCTGCGTGGTGACCTTTTAGCACGTCACCGAGACAATCAGGGAAGGGTATAAGCAAACGGCACTCCAACAGTCGCAATAGTCTGCAGCTGTCTTTCTCAAACTGAAGTTCAAAGTGGCCCAGCAATGCCATCAACTTTGCCAGCACTCGTCCATCCTTCTTTCACCGCCGAGCGAAAGCCAAGCACAACTTGGCGCGGTCTCCGTCAAGATTTATGGACAGGAGTACTCACAAGGCTCTGGGAGATCATGGATCCCTTTCAAAGTCATAATACAACTCTAGCCGAACCCTTTCATCTCGTCGCCGGAGCGTGCGAGAGCATGAGAAAAACTAGCATCAAGTGGCGCAGTACACTCTGGATGACTTTCAAAGCTGGCTCCGATATCTCCCTCTCCGACGTCAATGTTGCATACAAGATGTCACTTATGCGGCTGCCAGGATGTGACGTCACATGGCTGTATACGCTGAAAGTAATGCGCTGGGCGTACGGCACGACGGTATATGAGAGTCGTCGTCCCTTCTGCACCAAGGGTACCCCTCCCATCAAAGCTAATCGTTGAATCTGCGGCCAGGGTTCATGTCGCAGATGGCGGGACGACATGACGGAAAACTGTGCCATCAGAGACATGGGGAAGCTGCCCGAGTGTGCCCAAGACTACCCATCACCATCCTTGCTCCATTGAAAGAGGCTTCATCAACAGCAAGGCAATACTGTTAGTCACATACAACGTAGCCCCAGATGCAATGCACCAACTATACCCAACCGCGAATAGTCTACGATAGAGCAACTGGGTTCCGCACTATAGTTTTATCATTTGTGCGGCAAACCCGGCACCCGGCCACGGCACAAGTTCAGCTCCTGCTACACAAACAGACACTTGTATAGGCGTCAAGGTACCTGTTGAAGGACTGAATTCACTTGCCTCTTTAGAGTACGACCAAATAGAGCCCTCAAGTATATCGAGGAATTTGTCCTAATGCGGTGAAACACGCATGGGCAGCCATCCACACCAGTATCGCCGCGCAACGTCGGTAGGCCATGCCTGCTGGGACTTTTGGCTTTCAGAAGCCTGTATGTGAAGAAACCATGTTTCACATTCCTCTTTGTTTGCCGTGTATGCAGACGCGCAACCCCGCATTATGTATGCGTCCGGAAAGAGCGAACAAAGACGAACAGCCTTTGGGCCGTGGGATATGGCATGTGAGTTGGTGGCAGCTTGAGTGGCTGGCTGAAATGGACGTTTCGTCAAACCTGCAGCAACTTGTCCGATGTTGTCGGAAAGGAGACTACATCATCATAGCCGTGGCTATTCCGGACGGCTGAAGCAAGGGGGGGTGCCGTCTGGGTATAAAAACTTCTTGCGTCCAAGTGCTGTGGACAGGCTTGACCAAATGCTACAAATAATCTTCTCTCCATAGAATTTTTGGCAAAGGTCGCCCCTGTTGTCCTGAATCTTGAAAAACATTCACATCACAAGATATGCCACGCACTGCTGCAGTAATGGCGCCCGTAACTTCTGTGCCATACCGCCACGGCGGTTGGCTGCCCAAGAACCGCGTCATCATGATCGACTGGCTCAAGCACCTGGTCAAGGAAATTGATAAGAGACGTGAGCCTCTTACTCTTCCCAATGAAGTCGATGACCTTAGAAAGCTGATTGAAAGCCGCCCCGATCTCCGCATGCTGGCGTCGGCCATGCTCTCTGAGGTTCCAAACAAGGAGCCTTACCTCTCTGATCCGGTTGGCAACAAACAGATTCGAGACGTCGACCATCTTCTCCAGCTCTTCGGCGTAGTCATGACTACGAAAGCCCCCGAATGGAGCCAGAAGGGATACGATGTTGGCCTTATTGGATTCCCTTTCAACACTGTTCTTGACTGGCCCATGGCCACGCCCAGCGGATATGCCTTTTTCCTGAAGCCAGAGGTTAATGAGAAGATGCGGGCAATTTTGAATGCCTGGCGAGACGAGCTTCTGATGACTTCTGACTCGCAGTACGTCATCACCACTAAGGAAAACATGTGGCTCAGCCAGCCGGCACTCGAGGCCATTGAGAAAGACACAAACGTCGATGGAAAGGACCGCAAATTTGCAGAGCTCTTCATTTGCGACCCCAAGGGCGACCCTGTCCATTGGGGTTTCAAGTCCTGGGACGACTTCTTCGTCCGGCAATTCAGAGACATCGATGTGCTCCGCCCCATTGCATCCCCCAAGCAGCCCGAAATCTTAGCCAACGCGTGTGAGTCGAAGCCATACGCGAGGCAGACAAACGTCCAGAGGCGAGATGATTTCTGGCTCAAAGGCCAGCCATACTCGCTCTCCGAGATGCTTGACGGCCACTCCTGGACCGAAGACTTTGTCGGCGGCACCGTCTACCAGGCGTTCCTGAGCGCCACCTCCTATCATCGCTGACACTCGCCTGTCGCGGGCAATGTCATCAGAACAGAAGTCATCCGCGGGACATACTTCTCGGAGCCCACCATCACCGGCTTCTACGACGGCAACACCCCCGACCCGGCGGCGCCGGATCAGGCTCAGGGGTACATCACTCACGTCGCCGCCCGGGCAATCTTCTTCATTGAGGCAGAGCCCCCGGTTGGCCGAGTGTGCCTCATCTTTGTCGGCATGGCGGACGTATCGTCGTGTGAGATTTTGAAGAAGTTCAAAACGGGTAAACCCACGCGTGTGGAGAAGGGCGAGCAGATTGGCATGTTCCATCATGGAGGCTCGACTCACTGTGTGCTGTTCCGCAAGGGGGTCAAGATTGACTTTGTTCCGGGGGCTGATCCTGCGACAGCTAAAAAGAACCTTATGCTTCGGGCCAAGTTGGGCACTGTGACGGAGATTTGATGGTGCTCGGTGCGTTGAAGCTTGGAGGATACTCGCGTGTTCCAGATTTGTCTTGCTGAAACAGAAGAGGCTCTCTCATAGACTGTTTTTCTTCTAGCATATGTGCCTAGCCAACAAATTCTAGACCTATCCAAGTACTTGGCATGGAAAATGACTGAACGGAATGTAACTAAGATAGGCCCAAGTAGTTTGGCTAGTATAACTGTCAGTTCCACATCCAAGTTCTTCCACTTTATCCACCGAGTTGGTACCAATGGGCAATGTCTACCCGACTCACTTCACAGGTAGGGCTGCTAGTCGTAGAATGAGATGAGCACAGACGTACTAATAGGAAGCCTTGGCGGACCCTCATGATACGGCAGAGCCGCGTTCATTACAGAAAGGTGACTGTCACCGACCCAAATGAGGTTTCGGAGTATACATCCCGGTGGACAAAGCGGGATGGGAGGAATGGCGGTTGAATTTCTCCGCCTCAGACGGGTTTCCTAGGCATTTCTAGACCGAAACTAGCAAAAATGCGACCATTGTCCCGTACTATTAGGTGGACAGCCGCGTATCATAAAATCATATTAGAACCTTGATCAAAGTGACTTTGTTGACAAGTTTTCCTTTCCAAGTAAATGCAACCCTTTCAGATTCACGGCGGCTTTCTTAGCCACGTTATGGTATCTCCAGTGACTAGTAACTTTCCATAGAGATCCAGGCGACTATTCTTATTATTATTAATACGGTGAAATTTGCAATTGGCACCAAAGTCTCATATACCATCGCTGACAGGGGTTCCATTGTAGACTAATTATATCAGTTCTCGCATCCGGAAAATTTATTCTGGCGAACATACCTTTTCGACCATGAGCGACATAGTAAATGAAAGATATGAACATAAACCCGACAAGAACGACGGAAGCATAGTTCATAGATACCACGGTTACTGGCAAAGCCGCAGGCATACTGAAAAGGACCAATTGAAAGGCGACCCAGGCAATGGAGACGACGTTGACAAAATACCCGATGAGATTAGGACATCTCCATCGAGCAGTTGACACGGCCTTTCGTCCGGTGAATAGAGAAATTGCAATTACTATAGCGTATGCTGCAGCAAGTGCGATGACTCCACATGAAGCAAAGGCTGTGAAGGCGCTCGTGCTTCCTAGATTGACAAGACCAAGCAACATTTGAATCACCGTCAGCAGTGCCAAGGCTGTAAAAGGTACTTGATCACCAATCAGCTTCGACCATATGCTTGAGAATGGGATTGCTTGATCCCTTGCAAATGCCCAAAGTGTTCTAGAGGCAGCCGTGGTAATACTGATGCAGCAAAATACTGCAACACCCAGCAGGAAGAACATGAGAGCTAAGCCTCCTCCCGGGGTGCCCATCACAGCATGGAAAACATATGGCATTGCTTGTGCTTGAGGGGCGTTCAGTATTTCCTGAAGAGGGGGCATCTAGAAAGATGTCAGTTCAGCAGACTCATATCCAGACCTCATCGTGCAACTATGTGAACGAACGAAAATGGAATAGAAACAAGCAAAGTATCAAGCGCCATTTGCTGTTTTAGCAAGGCGTAACTGAGAAAGTATGGCCTTGAGCGGGAAAAAAGAAACTCTCCTGTGAAGCTAAGGACATGGCTTACCGTAAAGCATATCGGAAGGATGAAGAACAGACCTGCGACCCCAGAAATAGGTACGACGAGACTCAGAGCCGTGGGAACGTCTCTGGCTGGGTCTGCTACTTCTTCCGCCATCGACGTAATCATACCTATTGCTGCAAAAGTGTAGGCTGTCGGAAGTAGGCCAATAAAGAAGGTGAAATTCCCCCATCCGGAGAAACTCTTGTCGTAGTTGGCGAGGGCGTCGGCCACACTATGGCGTCCCACATTGGCAGTCGCCGACAGCGCGACACAAACGATCAGAATAGTCAAGCCGTTCCATACCGATGCAACTGCATCTACGTAAGGGAGGAGTCGGTTTCCAAATGCGCAGATAAGAAAAGTGCCTAGGCAGACGGCATAGAAGATGAGCAGCAGTTGCCAGTCGGATGCTAGCCAGTCCGGGTGGTAGATGGTGGCCGTGCCGGCGATGAGTGATGCTGTGCCAAAGTTCACGCTGAGGCAAATGGTAATATTGCCAATCAGCCAAACCCAGCCCGTGATGAAGGAAAAGATAGTCCGAGCACGGCCTTCAGGGAGCAACTGAAACGACCAACTTGGTAAGTTGTTAGTAACTCATGTATTTGCATTTTGACCCATGGTTTAGAGGCTCCTACTAAGACGGCCCAGATGACGTCGGGAACTTTGATGCAAGCTCGCTCAGAGAGACGGCGACACACTGATCAAGTAGACAGACAACAATCCATCCCACAAAGTATGCTAGCTGGCCGCCGCCATAAATTGCGCTGGTCAAGGCAGTACCTTCACCGAATGGTACAGCAGTAATAGCAAGCACCTGAAATAAGATGGTGTAGAGGGAGCGATTGCGACGAAGTTCCGGCTCATATCCAAGTGCAACAAGCTCGTCGTCCTCTTTGCGCTGCTGTGTGCTGGAAGCGAGAGCTCGTTCGGCTTCTGAGAGCGAGGCTTTCTTCTCGTTTAACGCGTCTGACATTGCCGTTGTGCCGAGCTGAAGGAGTGCAGAGTGTTGAGCAAAGGTCAACGTGAGCAGACGGTAGATTTCTTATCATGTCGCTCGTGCTTTCGGATACCGTCCTCCGTCCTTTTAAATGTGTGGGATATCCGAGCCGTGCGAGCCGCATGCTAGACGCCACCATGCAGTGCCCAAATGTATCCCAAAATTGGCAAGGTGAGTGATGGCAACCAAGTTAATTGGGTGGCGCGCAACGAACAAGACAAGGACGGAGAACGCGGGGCGCAATGTCACCACAAGGGGGCGCTCGGCGCTCAATAACGGCCCCCGGCCAAATTAGAAGATTGATTGCAATATGCACGATAAATGGGACGTAGCGCATGGCATACATCCGGCCCAGTTACCCCTGTTTTCCCCTTTGCTCCTATTCATAAGATGCTGACGCCTCGTACTTTCAGGCATTCGAAAGCTTTCTGGTTGTCTTCGACGGACTAATGCTCTTATCGGCAGCATCCACGATAAGCGGTCAGAAGAGGAAAGCCTTCTCAGATAACGAAGAAAAAAACTCCCACCAATTCTCACTGGTTGCTTCTCGGGCCCAGGTTTCTCTCAAGAAATCGGCCATCAACTGCATATTTCCGAAGCTGAGATAGGAACTGCTTGGGGAGAGCGCCTGAAGAATGGCCTGGCGATCCTGGGCTATGGTGCAGTGGCTGCCAATGACCAACATTGGGAAGATAACACAGTGACGCATGATTCCCGGGAGGTCTGGATCAATCACCTTTTCAACTCCGTGTCGAGCTGCTGCCTGGACCACCTCGTCGTCTGCATGCCGCAATCGCAAAGCCCTTTGCAAGTAGATGATCCCGCAGATTTCGTAAATTGAGCAGAAAGTGGCCCATGGAGAAGGCGAGGAGGTGTTTGTTCGACCGAAATGCTCCCTCTTATCCTGCATGCCCCTTGAATCGAAGATAGCCTCGATTCTTGTTAGACATTTCGACACCAGGCTTACACTGTCGAGAGGCAGATTGGCATGGACTAAACTGCCAAGTGCTGCCATGTCTGCGAAGGCTGTTAGAATCTCCAAAAACCTGTCTCCAGCTGGCAGTCTGCCAAACCAAGCCTGCAGACCGGAAAACATGACCCATATGGTGGACTGGAAGAAGGGCTTATCGCCACTGAGCAAGGCATGTACGAGATCCATGGTGGCATATATTGAGAGCAGGTGAGCTTGCAGACCATCCTGTAGAAGCATTCTTGTCGGGGTGTTCGGCCAATTGTGTAATATAGCCCAACCGCCGCGTAAATGACATGTCGAAGCGTTGTGCTCATCAGAAGGCTCTATCATGCCATCGAGCATACAGAAGAGGATATTGACAGCAAAAAGCATTTGGACAGAGCTATCGGATTGCAAGCCTTGCTGCAAACACCGTCGAAAGGCCTCAATCGCAGTATACCTGGCGTTTTTACGGACGACTGTGACATCGTATACAGCCACTTTCGAATAGCGAGCGTAGTGTGCCTGAGAGACCGCAGTGATGGCTTCAATGAGTGACTCGTTTTGCAACACGTCATCCAAGTCCCATTCGATCGACTCGTTCAAAACAAAACGAGGCAGAACGACATGAGAAAAATACAGCCTCAGTTCGCCTCTATCCAGAGGCATGGAACTGGAAGACACCGAGCCGGACAGACGAAACCCACGGAACGCAGAAGAGTTGCTGACACTGGCGAGACGTCCACGGGACGAAATGCCCCCAACCCATTTGATAGGAGGAGTGGCGCTGTAGGAACAAGGCTGCTCAGCATCAAGACACCGCGTACACGACGGCTTTCGGATATCGCATTTGACCCGGCGTTTTCGACAGGTCCAGCATGATCCCTCGACGACTCTGCTGCGCCGAATCGAGGGCTGTAAATCCCGGCTGGCCGATGAAGGGCCGCAGGGGCTGTCCATCGAACTCTCTGCTGTTACCAAAAGAAGTAACGAATTGGTACAAGGTTTGTGAATTGTAAGAAGACCGACATATGAGGGTCTAGCCAAGCTTATGCAGGTTTGGAAATAAGTGTCACGATGTGCGAGAAACGGGATCCAATATTGGTTGAATGCTCTCCGTCAAGGGGTCAGTAGGCAGGGGCAGGCGCTATACAGCCGATATTGGGCAGACCGGCAGGCGCAAGCAGCACTGGAGCTACCCCGCGTTACATTATGTCACACTTTAGAGGGCACCAATTGTAACGATAATGTATATATACAAGTCTATGTCTAGCTACAAAAGAGAGAATCGTATACGCCCTTTTTATAAGTGCGCTTATTATTAGGGTTATTCACTTATAGTTAAGGGTTTACCCTTATTTAATTATACGTACGTAATTTATACCTGTAATAAGTAACCTATTTTAATATACCCCTTAATTAAGCCTATTATTAAGGCTATTATAAGCTCTCTTTTTCTTATTTAAATACTTAATTAAGCGTTAAGGCTATAATTATAGGCTTAATTACGTATACCTTACCTTTTCTTAACGTTTTAATTAGCGTAGTCTTTTATTAATTAAAAGCTAACTTATTAACCTTTTATTTATTAAGGTAAGTTAAATATAAGCTATACGTTCTTATTAATTATACTTATTTTACTTTTATACGCGTAGCTTATTAATATTATTAGCTTCTTTTTTCTTTATTATATATTACTTCTTTAATTATAATTATATTTTAA